CATCAAATCAAAACAGTATTATTTTCTCTCTCCTTTAAAGACTTTAGCTTGTTTTATTAATCCACTGTAAAGATGGCATCCCATTTGGTTGCTGCGGTATCTGTCTGTCAAGGCCCAGCACCTTTAAGACCCCCACCATCTTCTCTATTATCAGAATGGAGCTCTTTACCACGGCAACAAAGCTCAAATATACACCTTAGGGATGTCTGTTTGATAACTTGTCTTCCTGGATGAAATGGACGGGTTACTGAGGTCGACTCGTGCCCTGTCTGGAAAGAAGCAGGAATGAGGTCTCAAGCTGGCACACCGGTGGTAGGAATACTTCAAACCGTGGGTGAACGAGAGGATGAGAGAGCAGGTTAAGGAGGGAGACACCCGTGGGAGGCCAGTGGGGGGTGGGAAGTGCGGAGAGATTGAGTAGTGAGGGAGTGAAAAGGCCTTGATATCCACAGAAAGCACAACAAAGGCTGAGCTTTTTACATTAAAAAGAAAGGAGATCGCCTTTTTTCCACGAGACGCCTTTTCGAGCCGTGTCATGTCCTTCCTTGGCCCGCAGGAAGTGAGAGTCGGAGCTTGGTTATAGCATTTGGCACTTTTGATGCACATCTGAGGGGGCTGAAGTTCCTGCTTTCAGAACACTTGCATCAGGGAGACAAGTACACTAAATGTACGTTTGTCAGGTGGGTGTTCCAGGATTAAATATACAAGGATCAGACCGCGCCACATACAGAGGGATAGAAGCTGTAATTAAAGTCAAAGTTAAAGTACAGCCATTCTTTTATTTCCTGCTTTGCATTTCACTACAGAGACCATGACATTTGACTTACATGTGCAGCGACTCAGCTGTAACGAGCATGTTCTGAGCATACAGTGTCGGGTATGGTAAAGTAGGTGGCGGAAAGAAAAATTTAAAAAAAAATTATAAATTCCCACATACACTCCAAAGACAGGAACTAAAAAATGCAAGCATTGAAAATTAGCACTAATATTCACAGCAGGTGTTGACTGCTTGATGATTACGTACGGTAAGTGAGAGGGGAAGAAAAGTTAAAGATAAATCAGCAGCCAATTAAAAGCCCAGGGTGAGGACAGAAACTTGTTCTGGCACAGAGAACTCCTCTGTCATCTCACTTTGTGCAACTCCGTGGTGTGTGTGTGTGTGTGTGTGTGTGTGTGTGTGCACAGATCTGTGGCGCACGACATCTCCATCTCACTGGCTCTTTTATGCAGATTTCTTTCTTGTGCTTTTGGAACCGTGAGAGTTGGTGAAGATCAACTCATTTGAGACTTTAAAGATATTTAATAGTTTAACATTTAATGATACTAGGCGAACGTTAAAAAATAAAAACATGACTGAAAATCGACCCGATTCTCACTTTGATTATTTTTGGATCTCAGTCTGGAGGTGTGCATGCCTACATGGCCTACAAGATGGGCTGCTGTTGTCCAATATTTCCACTTCAAGGTGGGCTGTATGACATTATGTAACACAGCATTAAATACACATTACAGTGGTCCCTCCCTACTTCGCGGTTAGACTTTTGCAGACTCGTTCTTTCGCGGTTTTTCAAAGTAAGACTGGACATGACACACAACTGGTTGATTGATGGATGAGACACAAGAGCGGCACGGATTGTTTATTTAAAATAAATTATTTTAAACTATTTAGCACCTGTTAAATCATTAGTTGAAGGGTGAAGCTCCCTCCTGCAGCCTGTCATGATCTCCGCTCTCGGCCACCTGCGGCTCTCTGCCACGCCCACATTTCTCCTCCAGCTGAAGCAGCTTTGTGATGAGTTAACCCTTTACTGTCCAGCTGCACTGATCGACTTTTGTCTTCCAATTTAAAATTCAAAGTATGCCTAGGCCTGTCACGATAACAAATTTTGCTGGGCGATTAATTGTCTCAGAAATTATTTCAGTAAACAATTATATTGTTTGAAACCTGACAATAATTAGTAATGTCAAATTTAAGAAGAAATGTTGGTTAATTTGTTTTGGGTGTAGTACCATTTTTTGACCACCGGATGGCAGTATAAGACCGTTTGAACCGAAGAATGAATGGTGAGGGAGCAAGCAGTGAGTCCCTTTAAGAAAAATGGGAAGGAGGCCCCTTGACATGACATGGGCTGTCTGTCGTTCCTGTTTTTCGGTTCTCAAAATGGTGGACGCTCTGTATGGTTTGAGCTCTTTAGCGTAGCATTTTTCACATGAAGCTTTTAATAAATTAAAAAAAAATCAGTAAACAAGTTCTCAGCTTCTTTTTGCAGAGAAAAACAACTTTTTACACAAAGGCAAAGGTTTTGTTAGAGCAGGGGTGTCAAACCCACTTTCAAAAGGGGGCCAAAATTAAAACCATTTTCAAATAAAGGGCCAGTTTCAGAATCTACATTAACTCAAGTTAGATGCCAAACATCTTTTCTAGTTTGCAGGTTCCTCAACAAGAGTTTGGTCTAATTTGCCGTTCTCTGTTGCACTTTTGACATCATAATCAAAGATAAATGAAAAAAATTAAAGTGATAAAAGTATTTTACATTTAAAATAACATCTTGGGAGCCAGATAAGATGTCAACGAGGGCCACATTTGGCCCCCGAGCCTTGAGATTGACACATATGTATTAAGAGCCTTAAGTGCCAACTCCATCATATTTTGGCCAAGCATTCAAATAATCTGATGTATTTTGTGATAACCTTTACATGTTTAGTTATCTTTGCTAGTTCTCTTCATCAAACAATTACTACTACATGAAAAAAAGGTCTTTAGAATTTATACAAGAAGAAAGAAAATACGTTTAATAAATCTGAACATTACTGAGAGAACTCATAATGAAATATCAAGTTCCATGTGGATTACTCCTCATCTATTTTAAAATTCTGGCTATATTTTTTTTTATTTTATTTAGCCTTTATTTATCCAGGTTAGTCTCATTGAGCCACGAGAACTCATTTTCAAGAGAGACCTGTTTAGGGAGCACATGGTGGGGGTTAAGGGCCTTGCTCATGGGCCCAGAGTGGGGCGAATGAGGGTGGGGGCAAGTGTGGGTGTTTCACCTACCCCACCCACAATTTTGATGTTGTCGGGGCCGGGGCGTGAACCGGCGATCTTCGGATCACAAGCCCACCTCTCTAACCTCTGAGCCACCACTCCCCCATTATATATATCATATATCATTATCAATACTGATTATTGGAAGATCAGAGCAGAGTATCCTGATGCATGCTCAATAATCCAGGTAGAAAAATCCAAAAAAGTTCAATCTGGTCCTCTGGACATTCAAAAAAACAAAACACACGAGAAGATGAAAAAAATGGCAAGTTGGCTTTCTTGGACTGTGAGGTCTCAGTCTCTGACAGAGGACATTTGCAAACCGAGGTGTACCGCAAACCCACCCACACAGACCAGTATTTGCAGTTTGACTCCCATCACCCTTTGGAGCACAAGTTAGGAGTCATCAGGACTCTCTTTCACAGAGCAGACAGCATCCCCACTAGCTCAGGAGCCAGGCAGAAGGAGAAATCCTACACAAAACAGGCTCTAGAGCAATGTGGATATCCTAACTGGGTCTTCCTGAAAGCAGAGAAGAAACCCAAACAGGACTCCAGTCAGCCATCAGGTGAAAAGGAGGAACCCAGACCCAGACCAGTGGTCATTCCGTATGTTGAGGGGGTATCAGAGAAACTGAGACGTTTATTTTCTAAACATAACGTCCCAGTGGCTTTTAAACCCCAAAATACATTACGGCAAAGACTGGTTCATCCCAAAGATCCAGTCCCCCGGCACAAACAGAG